AAGGATGAAGTAGCTGTATTTCTTTTTAACCCCCTAATATATTCTCTTTAAATGTAATTGTATGTCTTTTGGGGAGACAAGGTATGATCTCTTGAAAATTTAGACTATAAAAAGAAAATCCATGCTGAGATGATGTTTTATTCACTGGTGTGGTGCCTTTCATAAAATGTATTCTCAAAAACTATTTGTCTAAAGTGAATGGAAACCTTAACAGAAGAGTTTTCAAGGAGACCAAGTGATTCATATAGATAATAAATAAATGACTTTATAATTTACAAAGAATTTTACAATCATTTTATATATTTTAAATCTGCAACCCAAAATCTGTTACTTGGAATGCTAAATTTATAAAACAAAAGTTTCAGCCTCTTGGAGATTTACAATGTAGGGTGTAGTAGTTATATATAATTTGTAAAAACAAATAACCCCAAATTATAATGGCTCAAGTGCAATATAATTGTACTGATCACCCTTAAAGCAGTTCTAAGTGGGTTTTCTAGGTGCTGAAAGGACACTGTCTACTCCATGCTGTCATTCTGGGGCCCCAGCTAATTGAAGGTTTGCCATCTTCAAGCCTGGCTTCCAGTCATTCTTATTTTCCCTATTCCAGCCCCCTGAGAGAGTAGACAGCACGGAGGATAGTGTGTTGGATTTAAGGTTAGGAGTGGAAATGTCACACATAGCCTGCCACTTACCTTCTTTACATCTAACTGTAAAGAATGCTGGGATATATGGTCCAATCCTGTTCCCAGGAAGAAAGCAGAAAATAGATTTTAATGACCAATAGCAGACTCAGCCAAATATTGTAAAGTTCTACTGTAAAAAACCTTTCTTTAACACTCTTTAGCCCAATGTCTCCTAAATGCATTTGACTGGGAACCCCTGTTTTTTTTCTCTTGGCAACTATTAACATACTGTAGAAAACAACACACGTTGAAAAGACTGTTGTCAGAAGACCATCAAATTCCACAGTGAAAACAAGCTTTAATTTTTCAAGGATGGTAAGAGAGAAATTAATTTACTTTTTAAAATTGTTGATTCTAAAACAAATACATAAAACTACATGAAACAAATATACAGTTAAATCATTATCAGGTAAACACACTTGTAACAACCACCCAGTAGGCAGAACCTTCTAGACAACTCTCGAAGAGATTCACGGCTTCCTCCTAATTAGAACCTCTTTACTCCCCTCAAAAGTAAACTCTGTACTGACTTTTATGATAATCTTTTCCTTGCTTTTCCTTATATAGCTATAACCTAAGTGGGCCAAACATTATAGCTTAGTTCTGCCTCTGTTTTAGGTATGTCTTTAAATCTCTTTTAATCTAGCTTCTCCCATTTTTTTTCTTTTTCTTTCTTTCTTTTTTTTTTTTTTTTGCCCTTCTAGTAATTTGTTGAGGAAAACAGGCTGATTGTCTTATAAATCTTTTCTTTCTTTTTTTTTTTTTTTGCCCTTCTAGTAATTTGTTGAGGAAAACAGGCTGATTGTCTTATAAAGATTCCCATTCCGTCTTGTGAATTGCATCTCCATGGTGAGCATTAACATATTCCTCTGTCCGTGAATTTCCTGTAAATTGGGAGTAGGATATAGAGGCTTCATCAGTCTTTGGCAAGACCCCTTCATAGAAGGTGTGCTCTTTATCAGCGAACACACCATATATGGTTACCACGTTTTGTGAATTTAGCTATCACTGATGGTCAATGCGAGACCCTTTATCATTTAGGAAATACAAAATAGTAACGTTTCAATTCTATAATCCTTCCCATTTATTTGTGTAATTACTTCTTTTAGGAGAAATTTTGTCTCAGCTGCTACTTAATTACCTGATGACCCCTTTAGTACAGAGAAGGCAGGAAAAATGCTTTTTAACACTTTATTTACCAGTTCTCAAAAATAAGGAGTTTTCTTAACATCTTTCACCACATGTGGCTTTTTTGTATCATTATGAAATCATTGATTTTAACAAATTTGATGTGTTTTAATCCTTTTTAGTTATCATCTATGCTAATGCTCAGATTGAGCAGTAGTCTTTTAAATGTGTTCTACAAACATATCAATAAAGACTCTGGTGGTCTTTGTCAGCTTTCTTGCTATATGATATGACAGAATGTTTCAGATTCATCTTGGGCATTTTCTTTGGCAGACTTGGAATCAGTTATTTCTCTAAAAAGTCAGACAATATGATAATAATGTAGGGTTGACCATATGTCTGCTAATGATATCTTAGAAATAGCCAGACTTATTGTCCAGGAAGAACCAAATCATCTTTGCATACTCTGTGCCTAACACAGTACAAGGCTCAGAATGTGCAAGAAAATTAAGACCTGGACTTTCCAAATAGCCCACAGGAAAGGTTGCACATAAAACAACACATGTATAAGTGCAGCATAAATGTTTACTAGATGAGGTGATGCCATTTACTATAGGTCTGAGGAAGTCAGGGGAGGCTCACAGAAGGGACATCTAATTTCATTTTGAGGGATATGAAGTATGCAGGTCAGGCAAGAGGTCTTGCTGTTAGAGATAAAAGGTGTGAAGGCACAATGACATAGGGAAGGATTGAACTTTAAGGTAAGTGCTAGTTTACAAAGGTAATAAGTTAAATCTAGTCTCATAAAGGGATTTATGTACTAGAGACTGATTATCTTTTTTAGTCATCTCCTTCTCCTTCCCTAGCAAATAAACTTTAGCTAAATAACATTGATTTTTATAATAAAGCTTGTCCAGAGTTGACTTTAGGTTAGTTATCCACACATTGTTTTCTCATTTCTATACTTAGGAAATTGACAATATGCCTTTACATAAATACTCTAGAGAAGAGGAGATCCAGGTTTGTATTTGAGGAGTCTTAATCCAAGAAAGAAATCATCCAGATATAAGCCTCCTTTTTCTTCTTTTTCTTAAACTTACCCCACATCTCCCTCGAGGCTAATTTATTATTGTGTGAACTTCCTATAAATAGCTAATAGAGAGAAATAAGGAGAAGCAGTTATATATCTATCACTTGTTTGCAGTACTAAGTAATTTTTACAAGGTGGAGTGTGAAAATATTGTCTAAGATTAAGTTGGATCATATTTGTGGATGTCAGTCTCCCATGCTCCCCCCATGCCTGTTTTTAGGGGTAAAGAGTCAGTAGGAAACTTAGTTGTGTTGATTTTCAATATTTTAATTTATAACAATATCAAAGTTTATATGGTATGAGGATAGGCTCCAGAGGATATTTTAAAACCATGTCCAGTGACTTAATGACAGAGAGACTATGAGATCTGAGGGAGGAAATTCTTAAGTCTCATCAAATTACATGCTATCCCATTTCCCCTGTCTCAGCAGGTTTAGATGGTGAACTAAGGTATAGAGTATATAAGCAAATTATTCAAGGTTACATAGTAATTTGATCTTTTGTGTATTTTATTTTCTCTTTTATTTGATGGCTTAGACTAAGTAGGTGCATAAATCTTACACATCTTCACTTGCTGCAGACATTCATTAACTGTTTTATAAAGATAGAAAGGCAGTAGAGCCTAGTCAGGACTATCTGTGAAGATACTTCCATTTCCATTCACTGAAAAATTATTTAAGTTGCTATTCTTCCTTTTGAGAAGAAACACTCAAATTAATTGGTAAATAGTAATAAATTATTGGTAAGCATTTAGCATGGGATTCATGTGCAGATAATTAAGAATAATGGCTTGGTTTTGGTGGCCCTTGTTGATTATCTAGAGACAATTTGATACAATTAAATGTAAAATTACAAGTATTGACAGATTATCCAAGTATGAAGTCACATGGAGAGTAAATGTGTTTCAATTGTCCAAACTTTTGAAATTAGAAAAAAAAAAAAACTGTGGCATTTTTTCCTGCATGTTTCAGTACAATCCAACAATATCATTTGATTCATAGCCAAGAATTCAGTGTGTGGGTTGTGTGCTTACTACAATATCTGAAAAGGTAAAATGAATAAAAAATAAATAAAACATTCCAAATATGTAAATGGCGACTTGGTCATCTTAGTTCAGAAACTTTTATTTCTCCTGTCTATGAGCCTCTTTAGATTTGAGGGTCTGGAATCTCATGTTGTGAACCTATTTAATGGTATTTGTTGAAAAACTTGTAAGTATAATTTACATTAAGATTTTCAGGGAGTGACATGAGAAGTAGAAGCCGTGATCTATTATGCCCTCAAAGAGTTCATAAGGAAAGGAAGGTGGTAGGATAAGAAAGAAACAAAGAATGACAATATAGGGACAGGTGTAGCATATAAGTATATGTGCATGTTTAGAAGCAAATCTATAAAGAAATCCCTGAGCATGAGAGGAATGCTGCTCAAAAAGGAAGAAAAGAATGTGGCATTGTTACAGGGAAGACTGTGAAAGAAGTAAGCCTTGGTTAATGTTCTGAAGAATGTAAAGGATAGGGTTTGGAGAACAGTTGAAAGGAGATTGTTTCAAAAGAAGGATGAGATGTGGCAAGCAGGTTCACCTGGCTCGAGAGCATTATATGGATACTGTGATATTTGCGGATCTTTGGAGTTTACATTTATACATTTTGCTGAAAGGTCAACAGTATGCAGTGGCTCATGCTCTGTGGAGTAGAGGGCCTCCACAATAAGAAAAAAGTTATGGAATATTTGCAGTATTTATTTCATAATTCCCTCTCTATACCTGTTTTTTCCAGGTTTTAAAAACTGTTTTTTCATTATCAATATTTTCAAAATATATTGATCTCTTACTTCGTGGCAGACTGAGAGTACAGAGTGGAATAATTGATGAAAATAGTCTCCACATGCTTAATTATGCATGGGAGATAGAAATGTAGCCTTCAAGATAACACAGAAAAAGAAAAAGTTATCAAGTTAAAATAAAAAAGTTATAGTGAATCACAGAATGGCTTTATTTTCTAAATATTGTATTTAACACTCTCAATAGTCTCTTTCCTGTAGTTATATACGTGGGCCTAATCCCGGGCCTACCTCGGCCTGCTCTTTGACGTTCACAGTCATGCGACCCCCACACAATGCAGAGAAGAACTCGTCATCTCCTGAGACCATCGCAGAGCTCAAGGACGTGTGCTGAAGACTCTCAGGTGCGGCCCTGCCTCCTTAATGAAAATTGCTTCCAGTTCCAGTACAATCTAACAGGTACGGTTGAAATCCACAGTCTTGCTATTTTCCCTGAACGTTAACTAATGGGAGTTTGTGTGTGTTTTCATTCTTGGGATTGAGGACGTTGAGTAGAATGTGTGCGTGTGTTGCACAACAGGCTGAGAACTTGATATTTCCAGTGTCCCTTCACAGAAAGAAATGTCCGTGCTTGGCCAGTAGATTTAGTAAGGCCACCTGGAATCTCTGTAGTAAGACATGCTTAGAAAAAGTTGTCAACGTCTCAGAGTAGTATTGAATTAAACCATGATAAACTGAAACAACAACAAAAAAGCAGCAAAGGATAGCTTACCACTGAGAGAAGAATGTGATCATGCTGTCATAGAGTGTGGCTCTTTCATGGCTTTTATTATTGCAGAAACTTAAGCTGGTGATGTCTTTTCTCTATAATGTCTCAATGAGGATGGATGACAGACCTGACTTGTCAGGGATGTGTTAGAGGCACTGGGAATCACATCAGCCTAGGTATCCAGCCACTGCTTAGGTTTTTCCTGAACACCACAATGCTCAATGTCTAAAACCAAAGGACTATTATAGTTATTTGTCAGGGATGTGTTAGAGGCACTGGGAATCACATCAGCCTAGGTATCCAGCCACTGTTTAGGTTTTTCCTGAACACCACAATGCTCAATGTCTAAAACCAAAGGACTATTATAGTTATTTTGATCTACTACCTGTCATTCCCTGCAGCAGCAGATATACATAAATGCCACAAAATGTGGAACCATGTTAAGTCTCAGCGTTAAATCCAATACTGACAACAAAACCTCTACATGCCTTCAGAGGCAAAGCAATTGCCTTTTCTGAAAAAACATTCCCCACTGCAGCTACATTGGCACTGCTGAGATTCCTCACATAGAAAACCTTGTAGTGAGTTCTGTGGAGCTGCAGATTGTCTTTAGTAGATGAAGATGACCTGGTATATTTGCCCTGTATTTAAAATTCTTATTTTTTATAGTTACTTTTCAGAAATACAATAAAATTTGCTTTATTGGAAGACTGTATCTTTAAAAGATTGATTTTAGTATGCATGAATTTTCTATTTCTGTTAAATTCTGGGATCATCTACCAAATACGGAAAATCTTCTAAAAATAGTTCTCACTTGTATATGATCAAGGATCTCCCTTTCTACCCACGCCAACAATAAGAATTTTTTAAGGATCAAAGTAATTGTGGGATAATTTACTCTAACTCTCTATTGTCTGATTTGAAATGTGATTAGCCAAATCTGTAAAACCTTCTCTCATGATAGAATAATTTGAAAAAATTAGAGTTTCTGTAACAGTTCATGTCTTTCCTTCTCTCATTTCTGGGGCATTTGTCTTGTTTATACCATATTGAAAATACCAAATGGTTTAGATGATTGGATTTATTCCTTGAAAACATTTTCAAGTTTACATCAAAGATTGGTGTCTTAGTCTATTTGGGCTGCTATAATAAATTACCATAGGCTGGGTGACTTATAAACAACAGAAATTTATTTCTCTCAGTTCTGGAGGCTGGGAATCGAAGATTAAGGTGCTGGCAGATTCAGTGTCTGGCGAAGGCCCACTCCTCATACAGAGTGCCTTCTTGCAGTGTCCTCGTGTGGTGGACAGGGCCAACAAGGTCTCTAGGGCTTCCTTTATGGAGGCACTAATCCCATTCATGAGGGCTCTGCCCTGTAATATAATCACCTCCCAAAGGCCCCACTTCCTAATACCATCACCTTGGGGGTTAAGATTTCAATATGTGAATTTCAGAGGGCCAAAACATTCAGATCATAGCAACTGGCATCACTTCTGGGTTATTTTCTCTCTCAGTTATCCCCAACTAATAGTTGATTACAAACCGAGTCTTTATCATCCTAAGTAACGTCTTTCCTCTCCTATCCCAACCAACTGTGAAATGGTTTCCTAATGAACTTTTTGGCTCTTTCCCTCTGGAAAGGAAATTTAGGAATATAACTTGCTTTTCTTTGTTTATTTAGTTTGTTTTGCAATAAAGAAATTGCATGATGCTTTCCAAAGCCACTTGGAAATGGTTGTAGGATTATATATGCACTATCCTTCTTCACCGATGCACATAATCAAAGATTTGCTGTATTTTGCTCACATGGTCATAATTCTGAAACTCAGTGTGGGTGATCCTATGCCTGTAGAGTGGAGCATGTGCCAGCTAAGTGAAAATGTCACCTGTGGTCAAGGCGTCAGAACCCGCCTGCTGAGCTGTGTGCGCAGTGACGGCAAGCTGGTTGGCATGGACCAGTGTGAGCAGGTAATTTGATCATGTTTGGGTCTCACACCTAAGGCTTTGTTTTGCTTAATATTGATCTGCAACTTCCATCATAATAGATATAGATGATTTCTTATCATCTCAGCTTAGGTTCAGTTAGGGTAAAATGTACTAGTGTAGTACAGTTTCAGTAGTTTGGACTTAGTCAATATGACTGGGACAGGTCATTTTTATTTTTTATAGATTTTACTCTTTGTGAATTTTCTATCCCTGTTAAGCTCTGAGATCATCTACCCATTTCAAAATGACTGAGATCATCATTTTGTACTAACAAAATGGTATTATTAAAACATATATGTTTCTTTTACTTTCAAGATCTTATTTATCTGTACATGCTTGTCAACAAACTGTTGACATTGGGTGGCTTTCGTATTTAGGTACGACTCTTTGTATTGGGCAGGTGACTCATTTGCATATGTGAAAAACACTGTCCCTTGCATGTAAGATGGACACTGACACTTGGTATTAGATTAATCTGCTAATTTGCTTAGCAAATGATTACTAGATATATAGCACAAACTTTTCTTGTCAATCTAATGTCATTCAAATGTCTCTTCAGGTTTTAAATTAACAGGTTCTGAATTTTTAAAAATTTTATTGTCTTCCTTTTTTTTTTTTTCTGTGACAAACTAATGGAGTTTGGACAAAAATTGTAGTCAGACATGTTCCAAAGAACTTGTCATTCCTTTCCCAATGTATAAATGAAAACCACTCTGGGGGTAGCTTAATAGAAATAAAGATGACCATTATAGGAATCACTGAAACAATCTTTGGAATAAATTGAAAATATGGGGCCAGTTAACTCAGATTTCCACAGAAACCTCTTTAAAAAACTGGCAAAATGAAGATTGGTGCCATTTCTCCTAACATAGACAGAAAACAGAAATGAAATAGAAACAAAATAAAACCTTCCTCACCTATCCTGACTTAATCCTAAGTATTGTCACAACATGCTCTCTAAACCAACAGTACAGCCATAGACCAGGACTCCCATCCTGAGATCAGAGCATTTGAAATTGGATTTCCATTTACTGAAATTCCAAAACTGACTAATACAGGGCAGAATGCTGTCCACCAGGTGTCAGTGATTTCATTTAACCTGCCTCTCAAGAAGTTGTCTGCCTCAGGAAAAAATAAATCACCAGTCTACAACTCCAAATAAGTTAAAATCTTACATTTAGTGTATGTAATAAATATTTTCTTTTAATACACAGGAAGATATAAACTAGTCACTAATAGAAAATGAGTTTCTCTGCTTTCCAAATAGTATATGCCCAGCAGATAGTTAAAGAATATCAGCTTAAAGAAGTCCCAGATCATTAACCTAACTAGAATACCATATATCTCAAATGGATCACAGATCCCATTGTGGTAATTTCTGTTTTACCTGCTTGGCAAGTCATCATGCTGTAATCACTAATTTTAGCTTGATGTGGCTATTGCTAACACTGAACATTTTGAATGTCAGAGTTTTCCTCAGAACACAAACAGTGTGTGATTCCTACAGCAGAATTTTTCATTATTCTTTCTGTGTTTCTTAGGTGATTTACTCTTTAGCTAAGACCTCTTCTATCTTGGCCATTAAAAATGTATATTTTGCCTAGATTCTGGTTTCAGAGAGGGCAAGAGGAAAATAAATTATATAACCAACCTGTCCCCCCGATTAAGACCGTGATTGTGTTTTTAGTTCAGTTGGTCTTTTTTATGGACTTTAGATGGGTTATTGATCTTGTTTTTATTCTTATTTTATTTATTATCAATTTAGTTAACTATTAGTTTTAAGCTCTCTGTGTACTTTTGGCCATCCGGAAGCACAAGTTACCTGACTTTAGATGGGTTATTGATCTTGTTTTTATTCTTATTTTATTTATTATCAATCTAGTTAACTATTAGTTTTAAGCTCTCTGTGTACTTTTGGCCATCCGGAAGCACAAGTTACCTGAATTTAGCACTGAGGTGTCCTCCAGGTTCCTTGCTGGCTGAGCAGCAGGACAGACCTCTGCGTCACATGATCTCCTGCTTTCCAAGCACCCTACTAGCAGGTCTATTCTAGAGTTTAGGGTTTTATAAAAAGAAATTTGGGCTGACAATTTTTTATTTTGTGAAAAAAGGACAACCATTTTCTATGATTGCCACCAATTTATATGAGAAAGAATATTTTTTTCCCCACCAAAATGTGGAAAGGTTATTATCACAGAATAAAGGACAGTCTTCCCTATAGAAAGATGGTGATTTGATTTGACAGTGGTGTGATTTTTTCAGTGAAGTTGTATTTCATTTTCATTTGCAGCGTAATTTGGAGAAGCCCCAGAGAATGAGCATTCCCTGCTTGGTGGAGTGTGTGGTCAACTGTCAGCTCTCAGGGTGGACGGCTTGGACGGAGTGTTCACAGACCTGTGGCCATGGAGGTATTTGAGTTCCCTAAGTCTGTTCCCACTAAATAGTTCAGCTTTTAAAATATTTTTCAGTGTGCCATAGCTTGATAAGTGGCACGAGGCATCGTGGCTATCGGAAGGCAACGTGGGGCTGGCACAGAGGAGAAGAGAGACAGAAGTGGCCTCCTGGCAGTTCAGCAGGGCTTGGCAGAGGTTGCAGAACTGGCCTGATGACAGTGGCAGACTCCACAGGGGCTGCAGGACCTGTGGGATAATGCTTATTTAGAAGGTCATAAGCTCAACCAGTTGAAAATATGTTGGCTTCAGAAGTTTGGGGAAGAAGTATGTATTGTGTAAGTAAAGCTCACTACTTTGTCAAGTAAAACCCCAAAGCACAGTGGCTTAACATAGTAGATTAGAGACTTAATCATTCACAATAAAGAGTCGAGGACACAGGTTGGGAGAGGTTCTGCCACTTTATCATAAAAAAGTTTCTCTGGATAGTGGGACATCAGCTGGCTCTGTGGAGGTTTTTATGGGCTGGGATAGAAGTGACATACTTCTTTTCTATACTTATTCTATTAGACAAAATTTAGTTCTGTGTCCGCAATTCAATGCAAGATGGCAGGGAAGGAAATGTTGTTTCTGCGTTACCAGTCACTTCTCAGCCAGTGTTACACTTTGGAGGAGAGGGAGTATGAATGGAGGAGAGGGCGCAATTCAATGCAAGATGGCAGGGAAGGAAATGTTGTTTCTGCGTGACCAGTCACTTCTCAGCCAGTGTTACACTTTGGAGGAGAGGGAGTATGAATGGAGGAGAGGGAGTATGAACCTTGGGTGAACAGATAACAATCACTGTCACAAGGTCACAGGATCTGAGTGGGTTAAGATATGCACAGGGGCAAAGAATGCAGACAGCAGTCGATACTCAGAAGCCAGGCAAATGGAAATAGAGGTGACTGAGGTAGGGACCAAGCATGTGTCCATGGGAGGGAAAGAGCAGCAAGATTGTAGCAGGAAAGGATGGAGCTGACTTAGGACGGAACTCTGATCTTGAAAGATGGTTATAATTTATCACATGGACAGCGTCAGAAATTTGGAGTAAAGACCTTGGGAGGAATGCTGGTATATGGTTAGGCACTAAGCAGGGAAAGAGAAGGGAAAAAGAATCACAAGTTGGAGGAATCATGGAATCAGGATGGAAAAAGGAAATACAAAGACCTAGATCTGATTGTCAACTAAAGATATTTGGAAGCAGTTTTTTAGAAGTCCTGAGACGGGACCACTGGGACTAAGGTATGAGCTCATCTCTAAGCTATTCATAAGTGAGTGTGCTGAGGTTGTTGGTAATTCCCTGCCTTAGTGGCGATTGTGTGAGGAACTAGGCAGAACTCAGCATAAAAAAGGTGTTCATCTGTGAACTCAGCTGTAAGATCCTAGAGAGGGCAGAGCTGAAAACAATGGCTAGGATATACAAAAATGCGGCTAAGGGAAATTGATAACTACTTCTGTAAAGAGCATTACTCACAATATCCAATAATAAAATTACATTTCCTGAACAAATGAGAGCAAAGAACATCAGGAAACCCAATGGTAAGTCATAGCACCAAGATTTCAGTGACTAATATATATAGTTCCTCCACTGCTCTGAGAGGCAGCATGGTAGAGTTTCCAGTGGGGCATCCTCTTTAAAGTCGGGAACATATAGATTCAAATTGCAGCTGTTTAGGCAACTAACTTAATCTTCCTGTACAAAAATGTTTATTTATCTATAAATTGGAATTCAGGCACATGTTGGAAGCTCTGTTTTTGGTTGGAGAGTTAAATGGTATGAAGTATTTGAAGGTACCTAGCATAGTAACTGCCCCATCTGGGTGTTTATTATGTGTTGATTTCCACCTCCATCTTCCTACCCACCAAAGAGGGTTGTCAGAGATTCCTTGGGATCTTGTAGAGATTATTCCGTAGACTCAATCACCCTTGTCTCCACTTTTATATCTCATCCTTTTACTGCACTCAAAATTCATACACTACAGTCACAGCCTAAGTGATATTAAAAAAATGAAAATCTGAAATCGGATCATGCTTTTTCCTATTGACTTACAAGTTGTTTATCAATTCATCTATCCATTAAACAAACATATGTGCTGGTTATAGTTCTATGTGTTGGGAATGCAGAAGTGGGGAGGGAACCAATTTCCCTATTGTCATGGAATTTAAAATCAAGTTGAAGACAACAGAAAGTAAACAAATAAGTAGTGCATGTTGATGAGTTCACTATAGATTCATACAAAGGAGAGGTGTTATTCACATTAATAATGCTTTTCATCAAAACAATTGATCCTCTGTCCAGAGGAGACTCACCCTGGTTATCGCACAGCCACAAGCACTGCAGTCTTGTCCTTAAGGGCCACTGCTAGGATGTGTTACTCTCCCAGTAGGAGAGGGTAGTGTGGAAAAGTAGAGAAAAGATGAAGTCCTGTACTGTGAACATGGCCCCCACAAACCTGCAGAATCTCACCTGTGCTGCCCCTCGAGGGTAGTGTGGAAAAGTAGAGAAAAGAAGTCCTGTACTGTGAACATGGCCCCCACAAACCTGCAGAATCTCACCTGTGCTGCCCCTCTGTCTCCATCACCTTCCACTGTCCTGCCGGCTCTGAGTGCTCCAGCACACTGCATTTCAGTCCTACCCTTGTTTGCATTATGCTTCTTTCTAGCTTGGCACTTTTCCTCACATGGAACATCACAATCACCCCCTCTATTGCCTCCTATGATTTTATCATGCATGAATGCAATCAGTTTTAATGTCTCATCTTTCTAAGGTGCAAAAGACCCTGTCTGGATTCTTCATGGGTGAATTTTCCCAGTTCTGATGAAATACAGCACTTCGTACACGGGAAGAATTTTACTTGTCATTGCCCAGGAGTTTCTGGACTATAAGCAGAAAGCTCAAAGGGGAAGGGTTTGCAAGCTGGATTGCGAGCCCAAAAGCAGTCAGCCTCTGCCAGTGGTGGTTTCTCCTCCCTCCGCCTAAACACATAAATTCTTAGGCCCCATTACCCAGGAATGTATTCAATGCCAGGAGACAGAACATCTGTTTAATATTATTGTTACTGAAAGTCTTAATTCTGCCAGTGTACCAAATTACTTAAACATGATAGAGAGCCAGGTTATGCCAACACACCTCCTTTACAAATAAGACCTCTAATCGTAAGTTTAGTATTAAAATATCATTTTAATTTTTCAAGCAGTTCTGTTAGTGCTGTGGACTCATCAGACCCTGTTTGTCTAGTAGAAACAAACGAACAAAAAATCCCTTCCAAATCTGAATGCCACTATTGGAGAATTCTAGGCACCTAGACTCTAAGTATAAATTCAGCTTTCTCTAATCCTTATGATAATAAACAAAGACAAGCAACCAAACAAAGATTTCCTAAGAAAAATCATTATGTGAACTAAGTCAAAGCAAGACAAGGAAAGAATGTTAATTACTTAGAGAAATCAAGTTGTATAAACCACTTGGAAATCATCTAAGTAGCACCCTTTGGCAGGTAAATCTATCACCAGTTATAAATCACCTCGGGCTAGTCTCTAGGGTCTAGTAGGATAACTTCTTGGAAATTCTTTCTTGGCCTTTAGGTGTCTTAATCTTCTGAACTGACAAACTTGATAACACCTTTTATAATAATATTCCATAATCCTGGACTGTGACAAACCCTCTAATGATCTAAACGTATATGTATTCCATTGTTCCTTTGTTTGTTCAACAAAGATTTATAAAGTTTACGTCTGTTTTCTTGGCAACTAACAGTGTCCTCTTCCATTGTCAAAAGTGGAAGTACGGAAAATAAATTATATCATCGCCCTACTGTTTGGGGTTTCATTCCCGAATACAAGACTGTAGAAGAAATTTATCATACATTTCATGAATACTCATTGGATGCTTTCTGAGTGGCAGACAGTCTTCCAGGAACTGAGGATATTCTGTGCATGCAACAGATTAGATCCCAGGTGAACAAAGCCTCAGGCCTCATAAACCTAATATTCTAGTGAAAAATTGGGTGGTGAGGACAAGACAGAGAGAAAGCAAATAAACAAATACACAATGAATACCGAGTTTTATAATGAAACTAAAACTGGTCACGTGGTGGGGAATTTCAAATAACCTGCAGCGGGGTGAAGAGTGGGAGAGGAAAGGCCGCTGAGGAGGTGATATTTATGTCAAAATTGAATGACACCATGATGACATAGCTCTTGTAACTAGTGTTTTCTTAACTAGGCTGCTCAGTGTTCAATCTCACAAGTATTTTTTGACTACCTGTTACATTCAAGGCTCTATGTTAAGACCTTCAGGCAAAAAGAAAACAAAGATGAGTATTTTTTTGTATTTATTTGTGACCAACCTCAATCTTAAAAAACAGATTGAACAGTGCAGAGGGATAAGAGGAAAAGGACACATGGGCCTTGAATGTTTAGGCACCTACCTCAGGACTGTGCTGAAGCAGACTTTGTAGTTATTATTATACTTCACCAGCCCCAAACTTCTCCCCATTCTGGCCTTCCTACAACAGTCCATTTTGTTTCCAAAATAAGAGAATTCTCTATTTAAATCATACCTTAATGCTCATGCAGCACAATCTGAAAACAATAAATGAACAGCAATAATCAAAAGCAGAAATGTATGGTACAGATGAACTTGTTTCTTAAAAAGAGACCAAATTCTGGAGCTGAAAAGGTTGGACACTATCACTGGGAGACATCTGCGGTTTGCCTTTTCTAAGACAAAGTGCCAGCAGCTGTCTTTTGTATGAGCCGCTTCTTTTTTTCGAACTGGTTGTAGCAGTGGAGCAGAGAACACAGAAGAAAGTTTATTCAGTCACATTAAAATGGGTAAGCAAGTTAAATGGGAGTCAGATTTCAGCATCTGCAGCTCCCGGCTGATTTCTTTATCAAAGATGGAAGTTCACACAATTATCTTGAACTGGTTGTAGCAGTGGAGCAGAGAACACAGAAGAAAGTTTATTCAGTCACAT